CCTCAAAGAAAAACTCCCTAGTGACTTTGGGCTACAGATAGGTCTTTAAATTGGGGGACATTCTCTGCACCCCATGTGCTTTCCATCTAGTCTGTGGCCCCATAGGGCCCTTCAGGGCAGCTGGTCTCTGCCCGTGACATCATACACATTGGGGGATCATGGCACCTCCCAGACCATAGTGAGGCTGGCCCCCAGCAGTCCCTGGGCCAATGTGCACATGGGGACTGCTCCTATAGGAAGTCAGGCCTGTGGGGATGCTGGAGACACTGTGGGTGGCTAACCTGGCACCCAGTCCCCTCCCTCCAGCACCCCGCACAGACCAGGGCCCTCACAGATGATGACCATGCTCCCAACTCCAGGGTGAGCTGGACTGACCTGCTATGACCGAGCCCTCTGGTCTGGGGTTGCTCTGCAATGGGCTGGAGGGGTGTTGCTGAGAAGAAACATGTAGAGGGCATCTGCAAACTGGGCAGGAGTCCCTGGGGGGTCAGCCAACCCTGAGGACCCTTAAGGAGAGAGACAGGGGGTACCCAGGCCCTTGATGACATCATGGATGCCTGCCTGACCCTGGACTCTAGCCACACAGGCCAATAGATGGCCAGGCTGACTTAGCAGTACCATGTTCAGAGCAATGCTTTAGCTGGCCATGGTGATGGATGGGACAGTGATGGCTGGGGGATGTGGGTGTCATGGGGAGGGAAGTGACAACTGGTGTGTCATGGAGAGGGAGCAGAGTGTCATGGGGAGATGTGGGACCATGGGCCACTAGCCACTGTCCAGCTACAGAGCATAAGGCACCCTGACAAAACAACAGGATGTATCTTTAAAACTGTAGTGACTGACCTTTAAAGGCTTGTCCCCAAAGGCTTGTCTCAAAATATTTAGGTCCTTACCCCAGTCCCGTAGGTCCCTGCACCCGCAGAAGCCAACATCAACTCCTGTACTCTGGCCCTGCCAGCCTGGCGGTCCTGTGAAAGATGGGATCAAGCTGTTGTGCAGGTCTCAGTGCCTGGAAGCCAATGGTGGCCCCGGGGACGCTGGTGTCAGCTGGGCTGGCTGTGAGGAAGTGAGGCTGGCCACTGGCTTGAAGCCCCCAGCACTGATTGCCAGAGAGAGGGACGAGACCAACCCAGTGACACCCGAGGGTCAGTCAACAAGCCTCCTGTAGGCCTAAGGAAGCCGGAGCGTCCTGTGTCACTACTCCCAGGGGCTCCTTCCTTCCTTCCTTCCTCCCACCCCTCTACCTGCCCATCCTTCCATCAACTTGCCATCTCTCCATCCATCCTTCTTCTATACACACTTCCCCCTTCCCTTCCTTCATGTTTTGTTTTTTTGGAGGGTAAGATGTTATACTACTGCAGAAACTATCCCAGAACTAGGTGGGTGACTAAGTTGTTATTCCTCAGTGAAGAACTGAGCTTAAACTCTGCTCCAGCCCCCAACATGGAGACTGTTATCTTTATAAACTGTTCTTTTTGTTCTGGGAACACTTTTAAGTTCTCCCCTTGCCTTGGGTAAGGGGCAGAATCCCTTCTGGATCTCTCCCTTTGCATAACAGTGTTATGCGAATCACAGAAGTTTTATATTTTGCTGAGGTCTGATTTATTTTTTATGGATTATACTTTTGGTGATGTGTCTAAAAACTCTGGCAAACTCATGATTTCCTATGTTTTGGTTTCCTTCTGGAGGGTTTATAGTTTTGGCTCTAATGTTCAGATTTATGATCATTTTGAGTTAATTCTTTAGCATTCTGTGAGGTGTAGGCCTAAATCAGTTTCTCATGGGATTTTCAATTATCCTGGTGGCATGAATTGGCACCCTATCAGAATCAACCAGCCATAAATGCCAGGTTTATTAGGGACTGTGACTTCAGCGCACAGACTGATCTCTCATCCTCGTGCCAAGAGCACTATCTCTGCTGATGCAGCTCTATAGTAAGTTCTGACGTGGGAAGTGCAAACTTTGAGGTTTGGCAAGAGTGTTTTGGCATCTCATGAATTTAAGATCAACTTGTCAATCTCTGAACACAACCACACGAATTGTGTTCATCTCCAGGGAGGCAAAATTGAAGGCCACCCTCCCACCCCACGTTTTACCTAGAGACTGCAGCTGGGCTCCCCGCTATCACTCAGAAATGGGCCCTCAAGTCCTCCCAGGGCAGCCGTCATCCACTCTGTCCCCCTCAACCTGTTCCTGTCACTTTCTGTGGTCTGAGTCTGCTGGGTCACCCCTGCCCCATCTTCTTTGCAATACCCCAGAGCTGGAAGCACCTAAAAACTCCTTAGTCTTCCCTCAGTGGGTCCTCACTGGCCCTGTCCAGTGCAGGGACCAGGGGAACCATCAGTGGGATGGAGCACAGGGGCCAGGCAAGCCACCAGGCAGATCCCAGGGGCAGGCTTCAGGCAGCCTGCCAGGGTCTGACTCCTCACCCATCCTCACAGGGCTCCTCTCCACCTAGCCCCTGAACCAAAGACCAGAAGTCAGATCCCACCTCTGCCCCTCAGGTGCCCCCATCCCCCTTTCCATCTCCTGTGGTCCCAACAAGGCCCCTTGCTGGGGGGATGGTAGGGAAGGACCTGGCCAGGCCTGCTGCTTCCTGAGGACCACTTTGGACCCTCAGCTTCAAGGGCCCCTCTCAAGGAGGCCCAGTTCAAGTTCTGGGAGCATTAGTTGGAAGCACCCAACGAGGGAGTTTAACTATTGTCTGACTTCCAGGGCTCAGCTCTGTGGACTCTGGGACAGGAGGCCCAGCTCAGGGAAATGGTACCTGCACCCCCCAAGACAAGCATTCTGTCAGAAAGAGCCCTGGAGCGGCCCCTCCACTTCCTTGTCTGTTAAGTCTGCATCTGGTCAGCCAGTGAGCCCAACCTGGACTCCAAATCCTGAACCTGTAGCATCCCCAGGTACCAGTGAAGACCTCTGCCAAGCTTCTTTCTGCAAGGAGGCAGGCAGACAAGAGGACAGCAGCCTCCCTGCTTCACACTGCCCCTGCAGGGCAGGGCAGGACCACATAGGCACAACATGCCTTGACCACACGAGGGCCCTGCTGCCTGTTCTCCCCAGAGACAGGTTCCTTGGGGTGCCTGGGGGTGGTGGTGGTGTGAGGCATAACCCCTAAGCAGCACAAGGGGCCCTGAAGATGCCACAGCCTACCCCAGGTTTACCAAGTGAACCTACCTCAGTTCCCTTAAGGGAATACCAAGAGTCCCTGTCAGCAAGTGCCCTTCACTGTCCTCATGCTCCACGACCACAGCAAGCCTACTCCTGTGAAGGCTGTGCTTCTGCCTCCCTAGCCCATGGGCTTGTCAAGAGCCCCAGAGCTGAAGGAGGTGCCTCGGTGGCAGCTGGCACCTCATCCAGCAGCCTGGCACACACTGCTTGTCCCTCTCTCTCCAGGGGAGGGATACTTCTTATGTGTTCCCTGGGGCCCCCCGTGGGTGTCTGATAAATGTCACACCAAGCCCAAGCAGGCAGAACTCACAGCTCCAAGTCACATTTTGTCCAAATCTGTTTTATTTCTGCTGGAATCACACCACCTGTCTGCCCTGGCCTGTCCCAACTCAGCTGGAGCTTCTGAGGGGTTTGCTTGCTATGACAACCAGGAACTAGGCAGGAATGCAGCCCAATCCCCGTACATTTGGACTAAGGACAAGCCTTAAGCTGAGAAGCAAACCTCCCTAGTGTCAGGGAGGCCAGCTCCAAGTCACATCTGTAGGAAAGCAGCGGTTTGGGGCATGTCTCCTGCCCTCTGCAGTCTGTTCCTCACAGAAAAAATACAAACAGCCACCTTGGCCCTGGGTCTGAAGTGGAACCTTGGATGGCTGCAGTGGGAAAACAGCTGAGTGCTGTCACTGATCACAAGGACCCAGATGCCCAAAGGGACCAAGAATATTGTGGACCAGGGCTGGTGAAGAACTCCCAGCACAGACAGGTGTGGCTGTGCTTTGGTCTGGGAGGAGAGAGGCTCATACTGGCCCTAGGCCTCTGAGTTGATCTGGCCCTCTACCCTTGGCCTCCTGCTGGCCCTGCAGTCGGTATAGGGCCTCAACCTGACTCCGCTTGTCCTTGGCCCGAGTGATGGCCGTCCGGAAGAGCCTACAGAAGAGCTGCACGGCTGGGGGAGAGTCATCATTGGCAGGGATGGGGTAGGTGATGAGGCAGGGGTTGCAGTTGGTGTCCACGATTCCCACGGTGGGGATGTTCATCTTGGCCGCATCTCTCACAGCAACATGGGGCTCGAAGACATTATTGAGTGTATGCAGGAAAATGATGAGGTCTGGCAGGCGGACAGTGGGGCCGAAGAGGAGGGGTGCATTGGTCAGCAGGCCGCCCTTGAAGTAGCGGGTGTGGGCATACTCCCCACAGTCACGGGCCGTGTTCTCGATCAGGTGTGAGAATTGTCGGTTGCGGCTCACAAACAAGATGATGCCCTTGCGGTAGGCCACGTGGGCAGTGAAATTCAAGGCCAGCTGGAGGTGCACAGCTGTCTGCTCCAGGTCAATAATGTCCTGGTCGAGGCGGCTCCCAAAAATATATGGCTCCATAAATCTGCCAGAGACACATGGAGGCAAGGGCTGTGAGGGCCACGGGGCCAACTTGCCAGCCCTGAGCTTGCAGACACCCTCCAGGGACTCCCAGGCTCCTCTGCGGGGGCACTATAGCTGGGAGGCACAATGTGAAACATTCCCCATGTGACAAGAGAGCACTGGCGATCCCTGCCCAGGCATGTGTGGTCACCTACATGCCTTGGGCACATGGCTTAACCCCTCCATCACTTACCATGGGGATCCTATAACAACTAATATCACATGCAGGTCTGGACATTTAATTGTGACAGCAACAGAACATTCTGTCCAGTGTGGGAACACAGCTGGTCCTTTTGTTACTTGAGGTCTTAGAGGCAAGGCCCCTCTGGGGTTGGGTTGGGGGACCAAAATGGGGGGAGGAGGTGCTCTGGGTCAAAAGTACAGAGGGTATCAGGGCAGTAGCCTATACTCATAGGGTGAACTGCAAGGGCACAGGCCTGCTGCTGGCCTGGGCAGAGAACGGTGGGGCACAAGAGATGGTTGTGCCTTAGCTCCTGGCTGGTGAGTGGTCCACATTAGCAGTTCCCAGGTCCTCACTTCCACCTTCAGTCCAGTCTCACTAGAGTGTCTCTTCCTCTCAATTGACTGCTCATCAAGGATGATCTCCATTTTGCCAAGGTCACATCTCAGCAGCACTGACAGAGGACCTTGTCTTCCCCACTTACCATTCCTTGTCCCTGACTCTAAACCCTGCAATGCTGGGGACCCCAGCCCAGACCTTCTCCTCAATTGCTCTAGAAATATCCCTCTATACTGAGGGCTCCAGGAGCCTGGCTAGTCCCTTCTAGTACCCAGGTTGCCTCTCCATGGGGACAAAAGGCTCAAACCAAAGTCCAAGGTGCCTGGCTGATCCCTGCTGCCTCATCCATCTCTAGCCCCAGCCAAGGACCCCCATGCCTGCGTCCACTTGCTGCTTTGCCTCTTCTGCCACCAGGAGTCAAGCCTCTCACCTTGTCTGTCCTCCCCACAGCAGTCAAAATGATCACATAAGAGGCCAGGTGAGATGGCTCACGTCTGTAATCCTAACACTCTGAGAAGCTGAGGCAGGTGGATTGCTTGAACTCAGGAGTTTGAGACCAGCCTGAGCAAGAGACCCTGTCTCTAAAAATAGATAGGCGTTGTGGCGGGCACCTGCAGTCCCAGCTACTTGGGAGGCTAAAGCAAGAGGATCACTTGAGCCCAAGAGTTTGAGGTTGCTGTGAGCTATAACAGTATGATGCTATGGCACTCTACTATGGGTGTCAAAGTGAGACTATCTCCCTCCTCCCAAAAAAAAGACCATGTAAGAATATGGACCAGTCATTCTTCCTCCCCATAGCTGGTAAGGTCCTGCCCTGTCCAATCTGACCAACCTCACAGCCCCCATCAGTGACTGGCCTCACCCTTAGCCTTGGATCTGTGAAGTTGCAGATCCCCTCATAAGTCTGTCCTTGCTCAGGGCTATGAGCCCCACGCCAAGCACACAGCAGCCTGGCTAAGTCTGGAAAATACCAGCCCCACTGAGGGGCTCAGTGCTCCCACTTGGAGAAGGGGCTGTACTCACTAGCACAAAACTGACAAGAGACCAGCTCAAAAGTGGTCCTAGACCCAAGGCAGGTCCCAAACCCTCCTGGGAAGCACCACTGAGACACACTTGCCAGGCATGACCTACCTGTGCCGACAGCCAGCTTTGTGTCCCAGGTGTACTCGGGCATCGAAGAGACTTCTGACAGAAAACAGTTCCTTCACTCGGAAGAAGTCTGAGTGCTTAAGGGGCTCATTCAGAATCTTGTCACCGACCTCTATTGGCAGGGAGAAGAACAGGATGCTGCATTTTCCCACCCCCACCCCCAATGGCCTCCTGTGACACTGCTGGTGGGAAGGAGGACACAGCATTTGAAGATACCCAAAGCCCCAAGAAAGATCCTGGGAGCCTTTCCAGGAAACTCAGAGCCAGAGCTGGGTTTGGCCCCTGACTTCGCTGCCCAGTGAACCTGGTCAACCCCACCCCTCCATCCCCTGACTTGGAAAGCAGAGAAGCAGAGAAGGGCCCACTGGGGCTTGAGGTCTTTCTGGCACCTCCCAGACTTGGAGGTGCCTCCAAGTCTGGTGCACGTCTCAGGTGCCCAGGGAGAAATTCTCCATCAAGAGTCCAGCAAGGTGGATGGGCTCCAAGCATGGTACTCATAGGTCCCTTAGGCACATGAAGACGAGCTCAAGGCTGTGCCTCAGTGGTTCGGTGACATCCTGACGGAGCCAAGTCCTGTGTTAACCCTCTGGATGGCTGCTCCCTGGCACACTCACCCTTGAAAAGAGATGCTGGCCTCAGCCCCCATCAGGAAGTTCACAGATACTGAGCGGTCTAGGCAGTGGATGGAAGTTCACAGATACTGAGCGGTCTAGGCAGTGGGTGGGACCAGAACAGGGAGGCCCGCACGTGTGAGAGACTATAAAGCCTTGTTTCACCTTGAGCAGTGCCCAGCAAGGCGGGGGCGCTGGGTGCTGGGACAATACCCGGTAGGTCCCAACCGAAACCGGAAAATGCCAAGGAGGGCTGGGGCAGGCCGCACCTTCTCTCCTGGGGACCAGGACCTCCAAGGCTCACCCCTAACTAAGGGGCACTTAGGACTCCTGGAGACTGGCAACCCTACCGAAACTCGGAGACCTCGCGCTTCCCAACCCACTCCCCACCACTGGTCAGCTGGGGGGCCGAATTACCTCTGTCTTCAGCCTCGCTGACCGCAGCGGCTACGGCGCCTCTAAGTGTCCTGGAGCTGGGCGGAGCCAGCCCGGAGGTCGTCTTGAGGAAACTAAGCCAGCGTGACCGGGGCCAGGCACCTGAGGAGAAAGCAAAACCTCTAAGCTCTGCACGCAGGCCGGGCTTCCCAGTGCAGGATCCAGAGGACAGCCGGGCCTGTGGGGAGGCTGCCCGCCCGTCCCGCGCCGGGCCCCCACGTCCCTGTGCCCCCTCCAGTTCCTCCTCCCCAGGGTCCTGCGGGCGCGCACTCACCCGCACTCAGCAGCCGAGGTAGAACAGCCCGGGATGGAGCCATGGCGGAGACGCGGGGCAGGCGCGGGTCGGGGGCACCTCCCTCCCCAGGCCTGAATGAGCGGCCTCCCTCTTCCGTCGTCGCCCGGGCAGGGACCACACCGCCGCCTGCAGGCCCGGAGGAACCACTACGTGCCATGCCCCAAGCGCAGCGAAAGCTGGGTCCTCCCGGCGGGGCGGGGCCTTGCACCCTACCGGGCTCAGCTGCGCAAGCGCGACTCCCCAGGATCCCCTAGTCTCTCGTGGGGAGCCTCAGGGCTATGAGGATCTTCACCTCCCGCCACCCGAGTTCCGCCCTGAGCCCAGCACAGCCTCTCGCTCTCCAAACCGTTTTAATGTTTGAGCGGTATTTGGCTTAGGAGGGTTCCATAAAACTAGCAAAATCTCGGGGCTAAATTTAGGCTCGGGGTGTTGGGGGCGTGCAGTCCCCAAGGTCAGGGAGCCAGCTGGCCTACTCAGTAAGCGTCCCCTTGCTGCGAACCAGGGGCACCTACACCCCATCACTTTGCCAGTGGCGTTCCGGTGGACCCGGCGGCCCCGCCTTGGGGCTGGAGGCTAGGGGCTCCTCCCCATCGCAGCCCGGGTCCTTGAAGCTTCCAGGCCAGCCCTAACAAGTCAGCTGACCTGGCCGTCGCCTAGCAACAGGACGCCACTGACCGTAGTAGCTGGCGGAGCAGCTGGCCTGCCCGAGGCGAAATGACTGAGGAGGAGACCTTCCAACAGTGCGCGGAGCCTGCGCAGCCCCAGGTCGCGGCGCCCCCGGAGAAGACCAGCGACTACTACCGCGTGGACGAGGACCTGCCGGCCAGGTTCAACAATCCGGGGTGCTTCCGGGGCTACGGGTGAGGAAGGCGGGGGCGGCCAGGGGCGGCCAGGTCTCCACCGCACCAGCTGGCTGTTGAGTGTAGGAGACCACTCCCACCGCTCTGAGACCCTCAATGTCCTGAACACAGATATCAGGAGTGATATCAGCTAGGGCCTGCACCGTCGTTTCCCACCGGCTTCAAGAGGTGGGGAGGTCAGTGCAGGTCAGGACGTGGGGTGACCCCAGTGGAAGTCAGAAACCCAGTTCTGGTCTCAGTTTCACCATGTGACTGGCTGAGTCTCTTCTCTCTGCCTGAAACTCCTCTGCTAAATGTGAACACAGGGCACCTCCTTGTCCAGGGCAATAAGCAACTCTTGATTGCTGCCCGGCAGGTGTGAGTGCCGTCCTGCCATGTGCTTTCACATGTACCCCCCCCCCACACCCCCAAGAATTTTCTAGGGCAGGTCTTTAGTCCTCACTCTCTGATAGAGCAGCTTGGATATACACAGAGAACAGCTAACCCTGGAGAGCTCATGGTGTGAGTAAAGCTGGAGTGTGCCCTGAGCCAGACAGTCCTACTGACCAGTAGGGGCAGTGTTACACCTGACAGAAGCATGGCCTGGGCAACGGTGGGAGCTCCCAGGTGGAGGGACCCCCAGGTGGCAGGGTCTGAAGGCTGAGCCTGAGTTCATGATATATTGAGCGACCTAGCAAGGAAATGACGTGGTGTGTGTCAAGTTCCTGCAGGGGCTGAGGACCAACATTTGCTGGCAGGGTGTTCTAAAGACCTGCCTTGAAAAGAGAAGGGACAATAGTGAGCCAGAGGCCAGGGGGACTGTGCCTGCAGGGTGGTCAGCCCTGCACTACTAGTGCCTCTGTTCAAGGCTGCATCACCAAATTGGGGGCATTTCCAGTGAAGCTCCATTAACCAAATACTTTAAGGCTGTGGGTTTGGGAGGAATTAGAATAAATGAGTGGCAAATAGAGTGTTTTTCATCCACCAGGACCAAGAAGCCTGCCTCGTTTTACAGGACCAGTAACCAAACTTACGGGAGCAGAGCTCCCACTGTGCATGAGATGCCGGTAAGTGGGAAGCAGACAGGGCGTGGGGAGGGGGTGTCTCTAGGAAGAGGCTAAAAACCTGGAGTCCTCATTAGGGCAACACATCCACGGAGGGGAGGCTTGTGGGGGGCAAGTTCCAACATCACAAAGGAGAAGGAGGCACCTCAAATTGTTCTGGAACAGGGTAGTGCAGAAATGAATGAGTGAATGAATGACTAATAGAATGTTCTAGAGGGTGAGGAAAGCATGTAGATGTGCTTACAGCATCACCTTCCTCCCCCACATGACATTCACACTCATGCACAACCATCTCTCCCACCTTAAGGCAGTCAGTTTTGAGGCTACTAAATGAAGAACTCCTTTCTTCCCGGAATTATACTTTATTTTATGAGATGTTATCTTATGACCGGTACTGGTTAGCAGCACAGTTGCTGGAAGGTGAGGCACATTGGCAGGCAGAGGGACTTGTGTCCTTTTGGGGGAGCCCCTAGAAACATCCCTACCCCTCTGGAGGTCCAGGTGAAGGGCCAGGTGGACCACCATAGCGTCCCCTAGCACCCACGACACTAGGGCCATCGTGGGTGAGAATAAGAAGGGGGTTTTCTTACCTCCCAAATATTCGACGTTTTGAAAGTTCTAATAATTGCTTATTTAGTTGTGTTGAAGAGTGAGACTGCTCTTGTGAGAAGAGTATCTAAAAAGTGTTTGGAGATTTTGGGAGTCATGCTCCCAGGATCAAATGATTCTGAGTTTTCCTTAAGAATTAGGTATTTCTGTGACAAAGGCCAGCATACTCACAAGGGTCCAGATGTTTTAGCTTTTATAAAAAAGCCATTGTAGGCCAGGAATGGTGGCTCACACCTGTAATCCTAGGACTCTAGGAGGCCAAGGCAGGTGGATTGCCTGACCTCAGGAGTTCGAGACCAGCCTTAGTAAAAGCAAGATCCTGTCTCTATTAAAAATAGAAAAGCTAGCTGAGCATTGTGGCAGGGACCTGTAGTCCCAGCTACTGGGAGGCTGAAGCAAGAGGATCACTTTAGCACAAGAGTTTGAGGTGGCTGTGAGCTGTGACACCATGGCATTGTACTGAGGGCCACAGAATGAAACTTTTGTCTCAAAAAAGAAGCCATTGCAAAAATGTTCCTGCTGAAAATAGAGGGTCTTTTAGTGCCTGGTGCTACCAGGCAGTGGGACGTGAGCCTGAGGGAGCTCACCAGGCACGTTCCCAAGGGGGTTTTCTTTGCCGCTCATCGGCTTGCTCTGCCTAGAACCTGTTTTCCAGTTTTGTGACCAAGTATGGACTCAGTGAGAAGAGACTGCTGTTTATCTTCCATGTGGGAGCAGAAAATAAAAATGCCTTGCGTTTAAAAAAACGCTCTGAAGGGTAAATCATTCCCTGACACTGCAGTGATGGATACATGTCCTTCTACATTGGTCAAAACCCACAGAATGCACAGCACAAGAGGGAGAGTGCCGAGATACACCACAGACTTCAATTAATAAAGTATCAATATAAGTTCAGTGATAACAGGTGTGCCACACTAAGGCGAGATGTTAATGATGGGGGAACCTCTGTGTGTGGGGCAGGGGAAGTCATTTATGAGCTCTGTCCTTCCTGCTCAATTCTTGTGTGGATCGAAAATTTCCCAACAAAGGAAAAGTCTATTAAACACACACTGAGGCCATTTCTCTTTGCACTTGCTTCCTGCCAAGGAGATGAAACATCGGGTTGTCTGCCACAGGGATAGTCTAAGGACAGCTCATCTGTGTAGGGTAGAATATTTGGCAGAGGTGCAGGCCGCTCACATCGGAAACCTCAAGGTCACCTAACATTGCTGTCTTGCTAGAACAGTCCCTCCTATTGGGTCCCTGCATACACAGGTGGCCACGGCTGGGCAAGAGCTAAGCACTTGTTAACTTTGCAGGGGCAACCCCTCCCCAGGCCACTCAGCTGGTGGAGTGCGGACATCAGAATTATTTTAAAGCTTTACAAATGACTCCAATTCTCATTTAAGTTTGAAATCCACTAATGCAAATACTATTTCTGTTCCACAGAAGAGAAAACTGAAGTTCAGACAGGCCTAGTAACTTTTCCTAGAGTTGCATGGTTAGGAAAAGCAGATCTGGGGGTCCCTCCAGGCCTGACCCTCAAGTTAATGCTCACAACACATCCAGGCATGGAAATGCCACACCAGGTGGCCCTGTAATTGATCCTGCTATCAACATAATAGTGACAGGGGCAGTATGAATAGTTAATCACAGATATTGCATAAATTGGGATAGTCAGGGCTAGACCAGGCGATCTTGCCCACCCCGGCTTCTCTGTATTTTCTTAAACAGTCTTCTTTTTTTTCTTTTTTTGAGACAGAGTCTCACTTTGTCACCCTTGGTAGGGCACTGTGGCTGTCAGAGCTCACAGCAACCTCAAACTCCTAGGCTGAAGCGATTCTCTTGCCTCAGCCTCCTGAGTAGCTGGGACTACAGGCGCCTGCCACAACACCCGGCTATTTTTAGAGAGGTCTTGCTCTGGCTCAGGTTGGTCTTGAACCTGTGAGCTCAAGCAATCCACTCGCCTCGGCCTCCCAAGAGTTGGGATTATAGGTGTGAGCCAATGTACCTGGCCTAAACATTCTTAGTTTTCTTCCAAAGTATCCAATTACTTGCTCAAGAGTATTGTCATGCATCATTAATCTCAGTGTTCCCTTTCTCTTCTAGAAAGTATTTTATCCAACTACAAATAAATTTTCCAGACAACATGCAGCCACTGGAATGTTCCAGAACAACACTGTCAACGTGTACATGGAGAAAAGCCTTGTGACTGGCCCCGACAGCTACATTACCCGCTTTGACCCGCTCAACTTCCACCCCAGTTACAACGTCAACAGGCCGTCCATCTGCGATTGAGAGGGGCTGAAAGCCCTCTCTAGGGGGCTTCTGACTCCAGTGGCAGCTATCTGGAGAATCATTGTCTCTGATGCTTGACAATTCATGTGACTGTAAAGGGTCTGCCCTGGAATAGAAAAATATATACACGGTGGGGGCGAGAGTGGGGGTGGTTGTGAAGTCCTGCTTTCTCTGTTTCACATCTAAGATGTATGAGGAAAAGATGGTAATGGTTGATTTTCATTAAAGATATCATGTTCTGAATTTCTGTCTCATCTGACATTTGTGTGACAGAGCAGGGCTGTGAGGGGATGAACCCAGATCTTGGCCTGAATGCCAGGAGTGCTGGTGGAGAACCTCCCTGCCTCCCAGCTGTCTTTATTCGGGAGCTACTGTTTGACCTACTGTGGCCTGTGCTGCAGCACCCTGAGATCTGTGTGGGATGCCCTGCTGGGGTGTGGGCGAGGGCTGGGAGGAGGTGTGACTAAGTCTAGGTGCTCACCGGCGTCCAGCAGGGGCAGGAGCAAGGTCCTTCACTGATGTCAGGCTGTGGGGACGTGGGGGTCTCTGTTTATTTCTAAATTTCAATAAAAAGTAAAACAAAAAAAAAGCAGGCAAGAAATCACTTGTATTTTTCTAAGGTGAGGGTATGAATTAGGTTAAGTGGGTTTCTAAAGCAGCGTTTACTAAGTTACAGGCTCCTCTATGAGAAACGAACACTGCCGGCGACAGGATGTGTCTTTCAGAAATAGCAAGATGTGCTCGTTATGGGAAATTTGGAATCTGTCTAAACTAGAAGAAATCATTCTTACATACCATAGATGGCACCTCATTTACAGAGATTTTATCCATGAGGATTCCATTTAGGAATTAAGGAAGAAATTAAACAAACATCCCGACTGGTTATTTCTTCATTACAAACTTTTTGTTACTAATACGTGTACGCAGAAGTAAACATTTTGGCAACATTCTTGATGTGTGATTTGGAATGCAAATGGCTTCTAGAGAAAATTGATATATTTAATAGAAAAGATACAAAGCTGAGCCTGAAGGCAGAATCTAGATCATGTCTTTCTCCCCAGCTGGAAAGTCAGGCTGAAGGTAGGCTTTGACAAGCCTTTGTTTAAAATACAAAAATGCCAATAACCGTTGTGTGTTTAGCCTGTGTCGATGTGGGGAAAGAATACCTCATCAACCCAGCTCTGAACACACAGAAAAGAATGAATTCCTTCCTTGGCATCTGGTTTGGAAGGGCCAGTTAGCAAGTCCAGGGCAGGATAAAGCCATCAGCAAACAACTGCCCTTTCCCCACCCAGACCTGTTGAGCTCCTGCACTGCTGTGACTGTTCAGTGTTATCCTCACGCCAGGCTGAGGGCAACACTGGGGCCCAGGGTGGGATCACCAATCAACACGCAAAGCCTGTCGCCCCACAGGTGCTGCCCCTGCCCGCAGGCCTCATAGACTTGAATTTGGCATCACCGTCGGGTGCTAAAATGCTTTCATTCGTCGTATCCAATAAAATGCTATTTCCCTAATAGCTGCTAATGAGTTAATGCAAAGTTACAGTCTGTACATTTATTCTAAACAGAATAAGTGTCTGGAAAAATGAAAAACCCCAATGCTATTAATATTATCAATAGTATCAGTATTAGTATACATGTCCATCTTTTTCTTTTTTTTTTTTTAAAGACAGAGCCTCAAGCTATCTTCCTGAGTAGAGTGCCATGGCATCACAGCTCACAGCAACCTCCGAACTCCTGGGCTCAAGCGAGTCTCCTGCCTCAGC